GGCCATGCTAGGATTTCAAGCCCAGCAGTCTGGCCCCTGAGTATATGCACTTCACATCAAAGCTGTACATTCTTCCAATTCAATTATTTATATTTCCATCCTTCATCACAGAATTTACTAGGAGTACCTTGCTTTAATAATCAACATTACAAAAAAGGCTGTTTTGTTTTTGTTTTTGTTTTGCAACTTTTCCACTAAAAAGTTCCTATTATAGTAACATTTGGTAACTTTTTTTAAGAATGTTCTTGAATACATTTGTTCAAAGACCTGAAACTTAAGTTACTACATCAAAAAGTAGTAACTCACTGAACAGTCTTTCCTGGTGCCATCAGCACTTGACTTTGTATCACCCAAGTCACTACATCAGAAAGTAGTAACTCACTCAACAGTCTTTCCTGGTGCCATCAACACTTGACTTTGTATCACCTGTCAAAAGTGAAACTCTTTCCCCAGTTGTCAGTAGTTTTTCCTATAACATTGTTTCATCCAGACAGTGGTAACAAGAAGTATATCCACATTTGATTAATCTCATCTCCTTTGCCCCAGGATGTCAGAGGAAATTTTAAACATTGCCAATGATTATGCTATTAAACAGTCAGAAGACACCATTCTTTTACTTGTCAAAAAAAGCTAGTTTAATATGGCTTTATAAATTAAGTCTGTCATAAGTCTTCAAAATTATAAGAACTAAGTCTTCCATTACTCTGCATAGATTATCCCTTGCAATAATTATATTACCAGGCAACTGCATCTAAACTCTGGAAGGAATTAGTGTATAATCCTGTAGGATCTATCAGGAAACTGTTTTGGGATACATCTTGTTGATAATATAGCAATGTCCTTCTTAAATTAGGTTTTTCAGCATTTTAAATTTTATATTTAAACTTTAAGTTTTAGGTTAAATTAGTCTTGTAAAGGTTACCATCTGAATGCTGTGTTTATTAGAGGAAACTACTTGTGTTCTTTTGTCACCAATGAATTTTTTGGTCATATTTATTTAATATATATTTAATGTATATCAGTACACAAGCACACCCAAGGTATACAGTTTGCAAAGAATGGATGTTAGATTTTGATCACAAAAGGTGTTTTACAAAGATAAAATTTGTTGAGTTGTAAAATATTTGTTGGAGTTGTAAAATATGATTCCAAAAGACATACTTTACCTTATAAAGTAAGGCAAATGGAAAAAATTCACCATCGAGATGATGATGATTTTTCTTTAGAAGCAAATAATTCCAAATATGAATGTACTTACCCAGGTAATAACTTTTGTTGTCATAAGCTCATCTACATTAATCCAACATCTAGGACTTTAACCAGTTTTTATATTCAGCTGATTCTAAATGAATTTATTCCTGGCATAGTCCTTTACTCCATATAGGCGCAGCTCTGAACCAATTCCAGGATTCAGTTCAGAACAGTTACATATTTAATGTATTATGTGAAAAGCCTATAGGATTGGGTTCAATATTGACAATATTCCTATTCTAAGAATATTAGATATTATTTCTATAATTTCTATTCCTTTTGACATTCTTTTCTGTTTAACAAAGCAGTATTCCTCTTACAATGTTGTGATAAATTCAGATTTTTATAAGACTTGTTCTTCCTCCCAATTTTAAAATTATTTCTTGAAAACTATTATTTTTCATAGCTATTTGCCTCTAGAAGCATTGTTCATAATCAAGGCATATTTTCCTTTGTAAAAATTCACAACTGTGAAGGCACAGTTTCCCAGTGAGTTAATAAATGGGCATTTGTCAGAATTCTCTGGGGTCAAAGACTGAGTTTTTTGTTCTTAGTGCTAATAGAACCAAATCACCTGCATTTCAGTATTTAACACGTTGGAAAGCCAAACCAACTTAAGGTCTTCTTTTTTTGTACTGAGTAATTTGAAAGTGAAAGCTTTTTGAAGCATGCATTCAAAGTAAAACGCATCAGCAGCATTTCCTAAATCGTGTAACTTTATTCAGTCTGTTGAACTGGCAAATGTGAGGCCGTTTGCTATGCCCACCAATTTCTTTGTGTTAACTCCCCTTTATTGCTATTCTTTCCTTATTAATCATCCTATTCATAAAAATCCCATGATTGGGGAAAATGAACCCGTTAGGGAAACTCACTGCTATCAGTCTAATCCAAGCCTCTATCAATAACTTTCTTACTGGTATACCTGATTCTACCTTGCCTAGCTATTATGTGTACCATGAAGATACTGAAGCCAACCTGCCTAGGTTTAAATCCAACTCTGCAATAGTTGTATTGCCAGTTCCTTAAAAAAAGTGGTATAAGAGCTTTGAAATGCTAAATAAGGTCGTCATGCACATGTCAACTAGAGCAGCCCTTGTAAAGTGTCAGACGCTAATTCTTTGGTTGACCTCCTCTAAATAACTGCACACTTAAAAAATAAATAAAATCCGAACTCCTTACTAAGGCCTGTAAGTGTGCTTCTCATTTTATTCCCCATGTTTCAGTTATACTGTACTTGTCTCCAGAGATACTAAGCAGTTCTACTTCAAGACTTTTGCACTTGCAATTCCTTCTTCCTGGAACATCTTTTCCCAGATTTTTGTATTGCTCACTTCCTCAGGTAGCTGCTCAAATGTTCAGTCCTTCTTCGTCCCAAATAGCACACCCCCAGCACACATATGCTCAAGTCAATAGTCTCCTGCCTCATTTTTTTTTTTCTTTTTTTGCTATAAAGCACTCATTGCCACTGACTTTATAATAGTTTAGTGCCTCTCTCTCCAAACTGAAAACAAGCTCCTGAGCACAAGGATTTTATTTTGGTCATTCCTGTAGTCTCAGCACCTAAAACACCACTTGGCATTGGTAGTTCTTGGTAAATATTTGCTGAATAGATGCTGTATTTAAAATGGTTTTTTTCCCCCTAAGGACTTTTGAGAGTCTTGTCTTAATATGCTTGTTTTTCATAGTATGCACCTAACATTTCCTACTCCCATACTTTCACTTGATTCAGATCCTCTCATTAGGTCACCACTCAAGAAATACCAACTTTGGGCTTTTAGAAACAAAGAGTAGGTTCTTGTTTGCAAAGGGTAAACAAGCACAACAAAAAATGTTGATACTGTTTTCAAAGGAAGTTTTAAATACTATTAGTGAATTAAATTCTAGACAAAACAGCCATATTTTTCAAACATTGTTTTTAATATATCTACCTATAAAGATCTGTGGAGAGTTCACATCAGATCATGAATGGGTAGTACTTTATGATTAGGGCATATATACACACACTCAGAGAGTTACAATTAAGCTTTTCTTTTTTCTCTTACAGGTTAATGACTCCAGAGAGTAAGATCAGATTTGTCCACAAAGAGATGGGCATAATACCAAGCTGGGGTGGCACCACCCGGCTAGTTGACATAATCGGAAGTAGACAAGCTCTCAAAGTGCTGAGTGGGGCCCTTAAACTGGATTCAAAATACGCTCTACACATAGGAATGGTTGAAGAGGTCTTGCAGTCTTCAGATGAAACTAAATCTCTAGAAGAGGCACAAGAATGGCTAAAGCAATTCATCCAAGGGCCACCGGAAGTAATCAGAGCTTTGAAAAAATCTGTTTGTTCAGGCAGAGAGCTATATTTGGAGGAAGCATTACAGAATGAAAGAGATCTTTTAGGAACAGTTTGGGGTGGGCCTGCAAATTTAGAGGCTATTGCTAAGAAAGGAAAATTTAATAAATAATTGGTTTTTCGTGTGGATGTACTCCAAGTAAAGCTCCAGTGACTAATATGTATAAATGTTAAATGATGTTAAATATGAACATCAGAATTACTTTGAAGGCTACTATTAATATGCAGACTTGTTTTTAATCATCTTTTGAATATCTGAACTCATTTACCTCATTTCTTGCCAGTTATTCACTTGGGTATTTACTGCATAATCTGGAACATTTAGCTAAAATATACACTTTTGGCTTAAAAATTATTGCTCTCAATTCCAATAATAATTCTTAGCTTATAAGCAAAGAGCAGTGTTTAAAAGGAGAGCTTCTATACAAAACCTATTCCTGGTGTTACTTTTCATAAAATTTTGTCTTACCTGTCTTACCTGGAAATAATTTACCAAAATAATGAGTATTGCTATTAAAGAGCAAAAGTGGGGAGGGATCAGGGAACAAGAAAACAAGAAAGGATATGATCAATTATTTTCTTCTGCTCCAAACAGCCGGAGTAAAATTCATGGGAAATGGCCCTTAATTTAAAAAAAGATGTACCTCACTACCCACTACAAATTTGGAACTTTATTTGATCTTTTCAATAATTAGTTTTCTATTATAAATTATCTACTAAACAGTGGTAGCCATGACATGGAAAGTCAACTGATTTTACAAATTGAACATTCATTTGTGTGCCCTGGAATTTCCAACTAGTAATAAACAACTACTGTTGATGTAGTTTTAAAATTAAAACCACTCGAAGGGACTCATGAAGCATCTTGCAACATAAATTTGCATTTTTACATCAGATTTCTTTTTTTTTCCTAAAAAACAACTAACCTTTTATAACTGTCTTTCAAAAGTAAACGTAAAAATGCACAACATAAAATGTTTATGATCATCCCAGAAATACACTTTTTAAAAAATGTGAAAGTCCAAGAATTAAGTTCTAGTTCTGACTCATCACAAGAGGTCAAAAGTATTTGCTACTGTAACATTCAATTCACATTTGAGAATCATGGTAAAAATAACTTGCATTTGCCTTATACATGATCCTACTGTTGAGTTCGAAAAATATGGTTAGACAGACTCACGTTACTTTTTTTCAGAGGTAAATTCTAGATTACTGTGTCAACCTAATATTTTCTATTTGGCCATAGATGTAAAATCTACCAAATAAAAGTGGATTTTGTGGTCTACAACATTTTGTTTAAAGTGAATTCATGTCTGCTAACACTGTAAGTCTGCCATTTAATCCAGAGTGTTAGACTACTAATGAATATGGTAAGGAAAATATAAAATATTAATGGTATCTGCTTTAATTTTATTTCCATATATATTTATTATATACACACTGCCTATAGGTTCTGTTTAAATAATAATCTGTTAAATAAATAATCTCTTAAGAAAAAAAATCAGACTTTTCTGGGCAGGTGATTTAAAGCTGAAAACAACCAATGAAAACTACCACTTTTTAAGTGACCTTTGGTCACAAATGTCAAAATGTTTCCACACCCTTTCCACACTCAAACAAGAGACAAATTGTTTTTGATAAACTCTAGTATTTATTAAATTATAAATTTTGTAATCAAAAAGAAAAATGCTGACCAGAAAAACCTCAAACTATAAGACTAGACAGCAAAGCCTATGGGAACGCCATGAAGTGTGTTACAAACATTCTGAAACATAAGTTACTGGCTGTTTTCATTTCCATATCAATAACTTTACTATAAAATAGTAGTTATTCATCTATTTTGAAATCCCAAATTCACATCTATTCTTACATTAAATTATGCTTCCTGCTCATAATATCAAACATCTCACAGGTGCCAAATTTTAGTAATGGTCTTATGCCAATCCATGCAGAAAAATAAGACACAATGCAGGAGTCAGATGAGGACCATTAATGCACAGATAATACAAACACACTGGCCAAAAGAACAACATAAGTTTTTAAAAACTATAAAGTAAACAGACCTCGAGAAAACTGGGTTATTACTAAACAGCTCTCAACTATTAACACCCAAGTTCCTTACATTAAATAAATTTCTCAACAGAGACATGTTAGACATTTTGATTACGGGTCTATCCTTCCCATACCCCTTCCCACCCCAACTCCCAAAATGCACTACTGGGGATGAGTATAATGTTATGCGGGCATAAATTTACAGGTAACCTTTTCAACCTTGAGCATGGAGCTGAAGACATTTTTATTTAAACTTCAGTTACTGTGCACTGTCCATCAGGCCTTCTAGATCTGACACTGACACTCACTGTTCCACCCCCTGCTACTGATCGATCAGTTCCCGATTGATCTGATCGATCGGATACTGTCTGGTTTGCATTAGAAACCAAAAGTCTCTGTTGGGTCAAGGAGTGCTGTGCAACAACTGCAGATGATACATTCTCACTATCACTACTGGCATCTGATTCAGTTTCTTCAATGGAGGTGTCTGGTGCTGGTACCCTGCCTGAAGATGGTGATTCATGATCTTCTTCTCCTTCTCCCCTATGACTCCTTTCAGCTATGCTGTCTCCACTGAGTTGTAAATGAGCAAAAGAGTCTTCCAGAGAAGTGCTTGCATCAGGGGATGGTGTTGCAGGGCTTGTTAACTGACCATCTACTGACGTTAGGGGCCTTACAGAAGACACTAGGGGCTGAACAGAAGCTCCACTCTGTGCTGATACACTGTCCGCTCCGTCAGCAGAGCTCTCTCTTGCTAGGTTTACGGTATTAGCATCACAGTCTAGCCTAAGTCCAGCTACTCCCTTCTTTGGTATATCTATTATATCTCGCTTAATCTTCCTGCGACGTCCATGTTCATTTCTCCTATATTGAACCATGTTTTCAAGATCAGCGACATACAGAAAGCCAGCAATTAACATTTCAGTGTTCTTTTTACCTTTGGAAAAAGCATCTTCCAGCTCTCTACTAGTGCGCTCATCGTACTGCCACCACCCATTTCTTCCTTCATAATACCATGCATATTCACCATTTCCTCTACTTGCTGCCTTGAGTTCTTCTGGTGACAACAAGGTTGGCTTGTCAAGGAAATCCTCGGGAATTTCTTGTCGACAAAGAGCACACCGTTTTCCAAGCCATGAAGCTCCTTTTACACATAGATAGCAGAAAACGTGCTTACAGGGCAGACTGACTGGATGAACACATGTTTGCAGACAAATGGCACATTCAGGGACGGTTAAAGAAGGTGCAGTATTAGAACAGGACTCGTTCGCTTTCCTGTTTGTAGGAAGCATGTTTATTGAATGATCAATTTCACCACAGCCAGCCATCCTAAGAAAAAATACATAAAATATTAAAGTCATGTTTTAATTCTTGCAATATCTTAATTCAACAATTATGAAAATACTAACCACCTATTATGTGCATTATATGCAAGCCACATTCTAGACAATGGGGATATGAAGATGAAAGTAGAAGAAAAACTCTCCAACCAATGAAAACGTTTTATAAGCATTTACTTGTACATACTTTGGGAATGTATAAAAATTCCATCAGTGCACTTACAGATCGGCCCTGGAGAAACACACTGAAGAACTATATAATGAAAAGCTGCATCCAGTGGAGGAAAAAAGGATCATGGCAGCTATTATACAGTGAAATGAACGCTAGACAAGAAATCTAAAAATCTGAGTTTTAGAGTTCTTTATTAACTATGTGCTCTTAGGCATGCAGTTAAACCCTTAGTCTAAATTTCCTTACCTGCAAATCAGAGTTTACAAAGCTCAGGTAAAAATGGACAAAAAAAGTGCTTTGTAATCACTAAAGCTTCATAAAGGTAACAATCACATAAGACCAAGGGAGAAAATAACATGAATATTGAAGATGCCCTGAAGAGGAGGAAGAAAAAAGATTTGTCAAATTGGATGTATCCAGCTTAAACACTGACATAAAATTTATAATTTCTGCCTTGCTGATTCAGATAAACATTTACCAAACACCTACCGTGGTATAGATACTAAGTACTGATGGGTCTAATGATAAATAAGACACACAAGTACTCTGTTAAATAAGGAAACAAATATGCAGATAATTACAATATGGCCTGATTCCTGCATAATCAGAATGTGTTAACATACTTACAAAAATAACAATGAGAGAGAGATGAGAGGATGGACATAGGTTAGAAAGTTTAGTGTTCATTCAGAAGGGCCTGGGCAGTGGAGCAGATTCCAGGCAGAGGCATGTGCAAGACACTGAGTCAAATAGTCATACAAGCAATGGAAGAGCAGATGAAGGTGTAAAGATAATCAAAAGCCAAGTCATGAAAGCCTTATTGTGCCCTGCTAAGGAAACATTTAATTTTTTTTCCCCCATAGTTTTAAAAAAAAAAAAAAAAATTAAAAGGGGAGAAAATAATAGAGGGAGGAAACCACTGATAAGTAAAAAAGACTGAGAAATGAAGATGAAGATGTCAGAGATTAAAGCTTAAAATGAATGACAATCTTTGTGCCAGCTAATTCTGCCATTCTAAATGGGTCCAGTAGTTACAAAAGATATAGTCACTAAGAATGCTTACGCTCATCAAAAATTGAAAAACAATAATCCTAGGCTATCATCACAGCACATCCAATCTTAAAACAATCCTTTTTTTTTTTTCTTTTTACTGCCTTTTCTGTGTTCTTGGTTCCTCAATAGACAAGGCTCAAAAAGATGGCAATTTTCTAGTAAAGGAAGCAACATATTAAGTTTTTAAAAAGATGGCACATATTTAGTAAAGGAAGCAACACAGTTTCAGTGGAAGAACTGATCACTAAAATGCTTAACTTCCAAATTATTTTCAACTTTTAATAACATTTCCAATCAATTCCTTTACCAAAAATTCTAGGTTATAGACATCAAGAAAGTACAACTTTTTCCTAACCTATGGAAAGTTCTAAGTCAGGGGTGTCTAATCTTTTGGTTTCCCTGGGCCACACTGGAAGAAAACGAATTGTCTTGGGCCACACATAAAATGCATTAACACTAATGATAGCTGATAAGCTAAAAAAAAAAAAAAAAAAAAAAATCACATAATGTTTTAAGAAAGCTTATGAATTTGTGTTGGGCTGCATTCAAAGCCACCCTGGGCCGCATGTCGCCCACAGGTTGGATAAGCTTGTTCTAAATAAACCCTAATAGGATGTCTTACTATGTTAAGCACTATAAAAGCTTTCACATATTTTGAGATAAACACTTGCCTTCAAAGATCTTGTAACTTGAAACAATAATAAGTTACAAACTAAGGCATATGTTTTTTAAATAGCCAATTAACATTCCCTGCCTATTTCCTCCCCTAAAAGAATTGGCTGTGCACACATTTTGTTAGGTTTTCAGAAACTTTCATCCCTTTCAATTTAGGTCAAAAAAGTAAGTTTCCATAAAATTCCTGAAATTCTTTTTGTTCCAAGTTCCATATTTATTTAAAGCTCCAGTTAAGAAAAAGAACAAGAAAGCAATCCATTTACAAGTAATAATTTAATAGAGTCTACTCATAATTCTATTCATAAGACTAAATAGAAAAATGGGCTGATGATCATCATTACTTTGGAAAAACAACAGCAACATCTTTATATAAGAAGTCTATACCTTAAACCATCTAGTACCTTATGAACAAAGGACAGGCTCATAAATTTAAAACATAAATAAAAATAAAGTCTGGTAAAATGTAAACAAGATACCCAACATGTCACATGGACCAATGCCATGCTTTTAAATACGTAATTCCAAACCTATTGTATTTGTTTTAAGTAAAACTGGTCCAAGAAGTCAGTTTTCCATCACATACAGCTTGTTTATCTACAGAAAAAAATGTTTTCAACCTAAAAACATTATCCTCCACCCTACTTAATATGATCAATATTTTGCATGACTCTTACTCTTGCATGTATGAATAAACCAAAACACGTAATTTCAAAACTAAGCAATTACAATCATCCCAGGAGAAGGCATGAATTGTAACAACAACACAATTGGAAAGGCAAAACAATTTGGTTTGTGCAGGTATTTTGGTTCTGTCATTAGAATGAAGTAAAGTTGGACAAAGTTAATCTGAAAACAATGGACACCAGACAGCTAAGTGGTCATTATTTCATCTGAAGCACTCTTAAGTATCAATTTGCTATAGCAATTTATAAATTCTGATTCTGTTTAGCCCATCAAGTATCCTGTTAGTCTATCACCAACAAATGGGCAGAAAAACTTAGTAATATTTCTTCTTTAATTCTGAATGAGGAACATGCAATAAGCAAGATACACATAAAATGTGTAACAAGATAGACACAAAGTAACCCCAAACTGCTAGTCTACCTGTAAGACATACTTCAAGGCTTTTTAAAAAAACCATTTTAATCTACCCTACACAGGCTCTATTTTGCATACTTTCAATGATCTTAAAATAGGTAGGAGATTAAATGTATGCAGATGATCATACCAATATGTAAATAAGAAATGCTTTTCCCCTCCCTTTGTGTAAAGCAAGTATTAATGCTAATCAAAAGAGGTATTCCCTATCTCATAAATGTCTCATAAAATTCTAATTTTGAATCATTTTGAAAAAGGGAATTTATTTCCAGTTTACTAAACTAAAAATTTAACACATAGAAATTTGGAGTGTAGTCCAATTCTATTAATAAGTATAATACATCACTTATTTTCAAAGACGTTTTCACTGAATTCTTCATGTGATATTCCAACTTTTAAGTATAAATCCCCTTCTTCCAACAGATAAACCATGTGAAATATTTCTGTAAGATTATTAAAAGTTTATTAATACTAAGTCGTCTTCTTAAGAAGACAAAATATAGAGGGGTATGGGCAGAGTTAGTGGAAATCTCCAAGAACTCAGATTTCCTTGAAACTTCTTGGATAATTAGTCAAATGGAAGGCAAAATTATTATAAGCAAAAAAGGTCTTTAGTATATGTAGTATTCAAGAAATTTTTAGCCAGCAATAAAAACTCCAAATATTAAAAATCAGATTTTTAAAGTCTGAATTCAGAATCCAATTACAGACACAAAAAAGGGAACAATCCTACACATAATTTCAAGGGGCTCAAGGATTTCTATGAAGCTGGTCCACATATGAACCACTAATGAGACAAGAGGAGTTCACTGAAAGGTTTTACGTCAGGTAATAACAGCAAGTTTAGTAGCTTCCAGACCATTTGAACAGCAGGTTGGAGGAAAGTATGGTAATGCAGGAGGAGGTAGGTGAAAGGGAAACTAGAATATCCAGGTAGTAATGCAAGTATAAGATAATTAGAGGCAGGGTGCTGATGTAAGGTTCCAATAATATAAGAATGCTAAGGAAAAAGAAATGAAAGCATTTGGTTACTGATGGGTGGTGACACATTCACCTAAATTCAGAATTTGAGGAGAGTTCTGTCTCAGACATAATGACTTTATTAAGGTCTCCAGGTGGAGATAGATAGATGACAGCTGAATTTACTCGTTTGGTACTCCAAGAATAAATCTAAGCTGAAAAAAGTCTGGTGACTCACCAACACATACATGGTCCTTGGAGCCATGAAAATGAGTAAATGCCCAAATTAAACCTGTAGAGAGAGCAGTCAAAAGGGCCAGCCACAGAATCTTGAATTACTCCAATATTTCTCTGGTAAAATAGCCAGGAAGGGGTGTAAGGAACGGTCAGAGAAGAACAGGGATAAAGATAGACCACCACCACAAAAGCCAACAAGGGAGACATTCGCAATAAAGAATAATCAAGCAAGTTACTCTAAGTGACAAAAATTTCACCATACAATTCACTTTTGTGTGGTGCAAAAGTTGTGAACCCCACACACTTGGTAGCTATTTTGATTTCCTAAACACCATCAATCCCAGTAACCTTTTACTCGGCCAAGACATCTTTCTTTCCCTATTCCCCAAAGACTATCATAAAACTTCTCCCTCCTAGTTTATCAATATACTAACACCTCTATCACTGAGAAATTAAGTAAGTCAAAAATAAATCCTGAAAATCTATCTTTACCTTTACTCTGTCTTATCATTATTCCTCCTGGCTCAATATGGGGTACTGCTACTTGTTTACAAAGCTAACCACTCAACATCTAGTTAGTACTGTCACCTAACTCCTCCAAGACTGATCAATATGCTCTGTCCCTAAGTATAAAAATCAATTAACATTGATTTTATGTTAAATAAATGTAAAATCTGGTAATATAATAAGTACTAAATAAATGTTCATTCCCGGCACTTATTTTGAATTCTCTTTCTCCTACCCTGCCTTCCCACATATTACTGTTACCTGACTCCTCTAAAATGTGTTGATGATTAGGCAGTTGTTTCCCTCCTCATTCCCTTGGCTTGAAAAACGTTTCTTAATTTTCTTTGACTGTTAAAATTCTACTCATTCTTTAGAGGCAAAGTGAAACTTACTCTGTTCACTCTGAACCGTTCAGATAAAATTAATCTCTCCCTCTGTTCAGTTTCAATAGCATCTTATTGTTACCTTAACATGGCATCTATTCCACTGTTTGTTAATTACATACATGTCTCATTTACTAGATCATAGTAAGCTCCTTGGTGACCAGCACCTAGACTATCTGACCTATTAAGATATTTAAAAATGTATATAGATAGATAAATGGACAGGATTAAATAAAAGATGTATTTTTAAAGACAAATGTTTATTAGTATCATTTTTCAATTATCAAATTTTCAATACTGAATAAAAATATGGTCGTACTTTTAAGTAATAAATTAATTATTGTTAATACATATCATTACATGTAACCAGTATCATACTGGAAGAGCAGATAGCAAGTTTTATGTCAAACTGGGAAAATGTGAAATAGGATCTACTAAGGTCACTCTTGGTCTAATAAGAAAAATGCTATAATTAAAAGTCAATAAAATATTCACATTTTTCATGAGTGACATCAAGTTGCATATGGTTTATATTACTTTAGAAAACAAATATATTCATAGTGCAAAAATGTTTCATCAGTAATAGGGTGAAGTTAAATATGGACAAATCCAAGGTAGTATGTAACACTTTAAAGCATTTCATGCAAAGATAAATGATGAAAGCACAGCTAGTAAAACTGGGGATCAGAGTGAAGTGATATGAATAAAAAGCAATGAGGTACTACATTAAAAAAATCAATTATGTAGAAATTCCTTTAATTTAGTGAAACAAGTTTTTAGTAACTAGAGTTTTTATAACCCAGTAGTTTGTCTTATTTATAAAAGCTAGTACTACTTGCCTAGCTTAGTTATTTAAGAAAATTATTATGTAAAAAGAAGGTAGAACCCAGAGGACCTGGAGATCTCTTCAGTATTTTAGCCTTCTATGAGCAAACTCCTGTGTCTTCAGTTTTTCTTAGAGATTTTTCCCTCTGAGGAGACTTGGAAATCTACATTAACGATAATTTAATGTAAATAAATTGTTAATAAAGCACCTATAAGTCAACAGAAAATGCTCATTTTATATAATTAAAACTAAATATGACAGATAATTTACTGTGCTTTAAACCAATCCACTTAATTTACTGCAGCACTGAAAAAAACATGATGCTACACTTACATTACTATTACAGATCCCACAGATGCCTGCCATAAAAATAAAGCATTTTCTTCATCAGCAGTCAGCCAGCTTGCAGTATTTTCTCTTCCACTGCTGGTTCATTCTTTATGCTGCAAAAGAAAAAAGAGTAATTAAAATCAAGAGAATCAATTAATTATTTATAATCCTTTCACAAAATTCAGTGGAAAACTTTATCTTAAAAGTGGAAAAAATTAAAGACAAGATGCATGCTTTTACCACTGCTATTCAACATGACTTTAAGTTCTAGCAGAGCAAATTAGGGAAAAGAGATAAAGGTATACAGACGAATAAGGAGGAAGTAAAAGTATATTTATTCTCTCTATATAGAAGATCGCATAAAATCCCCAAGAAAGCTAATAAACAAATTCAGCAAAGTTGCAGGTTACAAGTTTGACACACATAAAAATCAGTTGCATTTTGATACACCAGCAGACAACAATCCAAAAAAGAAATCAAGAAAGCAATTCATTCATAATAGCATCTAAGGGAATAAAATAGCCAGGAATCAACCCAGGAGGTGAAAGACTTGTACACAGAAAACTATAAAGCATTACTGAAAGAAATTAAAGAAGAGCTAAGTAAACAGACAAGTGATGTATGGATTGGAAGACTTAACATATTAAAATGACAATACTACCCGAAGTGATTTACAGACTCAACACAATTCCTATGACAATTCCACCGACCTTTTTTTGCAGAAATGGAAAAGCAATCCTCAAATTCATATGGAATTGCAAAGGACCCTAAGTAACCCAAACAATCTTGAAAAATCCAATGTCAAAACTTACTACAAAGCTAAGGCAACAAGACAGTTTGGTGCTGGCATAGGATAGATATAAATATACCAATGACATAGAATTGAGAGCACAAAAATAAACTCATACATCAATAGTCAACTGATTTTTCCAAAAGGGTATCAAGTCTACTCAATGGGGGAAAGAGGAGCCTCTAACTGATGTTGGGACAACTGGATTTCCACATGCAAAATAATTAAGCTGGACCTCTACCTTACACTATATATAAAAGTTAACTCAAAATGAACCAATAACCTAAATATGAGAAATAAAACCATAAAACTCTTAGAAGAAAACACAGGGGCAAATCTGCATGGCCTTAGATTTGCAATGGATTCCTAGTTATGACATCAAAAGCATGAGAAACATAGGAAATAAATTGGGCTTTACGTAAGTTTAAAATTTTTGTGCATCAAAAGACACTGTTAAGAAAATAAAAAAACTGCAGAATGGGAGAATATTTTGGCAAATCATGTATCTGATAAACATTTAGTATCCAGAACATGTAAAGAGCTACAGCTCAACAACAAAGACAAACCAATTAAAAAGTGAGCAAAAAATGAGCAAAGAACTTAAAGAAGATATACAAACGAGCAATAAACACACAAAAAGATCCTTAACATTATTAGCAATTAGGGAAATGTAAATCAAAATCACAATGATACATCTATAAGGATGCTACAACTTTTTTAAGGGGAAAGTAATAGTGTTGGTAAGGATGTAGAAAAATAGGACCTTTGAACACTGCTGGTAGGAAGGTAAAAGGGTGTAGCTGCTGTGAATAATAATTTGTTGCTCCCTCAAAAAGCTAAACATAATTACCAATATAACCCAGCAATTCCACTCCCAGGGATATAGCAACAGAATTGAAAACAGGTTCTCAGATACTTGTATGCCAATGTTCACTGCAGAAATATTAGGCAAAAGGTGGACACAATTCAAGTATCTGTCAACAGATGAATGGATAAACAAAATGTGGTCTACAAATACAACAGTACATTATTCAGAAATAAAAAGAAATATGTGCTACAACATAGATGAACCTTGAAAACATACTAATAAGCCAGATACAGGATACAGGAAAGATTGTATGATTCTACTTATATGAAATATCAAGAACAGGCAAATTCATAGAAGCAGAAGGTATCAGAGGTTACCAGAGACTGAGGGAAGGAAAGTGAGGAGTTATTTGCCTAATGGGTACAGAGCTTCTGTTTGTAATGCTAAAAAAAAAAAAAAAAAAAGTTGTGGAAAATCTATAATGGTGATGGTTGCACAACATTGTAAGTGAAATTAACTACATGGAATTGTACTCTTAAAAAATTGTACCATCTCAGTCATTAACCTTCTTTCTTCTCATTTAGTATTTCCTTCTTCACTTCACCATGTCCACTACAGGACACACATCACATTACACAGAATAATCAAGAACACATGATAACGAAAGAAATGACAGATCTCACAGTAAACACAAAATAGAAGAGACTTGAATATTCTTTTAGTTCCATGTGGCTCTCATACTATGGGCATCTATCTCCCTAAGGTATCTCAAAATTTTAGTGTTTAAAGAAACATATTCTTAAGGCCGTATGTAACCTCTAAATTCAAGCTGACTTATCCTACCAAATGTTTAACAGAACAAACAATTTGTTTTAAAATCAGAGAACTTTCAAAAGTAACTGACTGTGATGGTTAACACTGAGTGTTAACTTGATTGGATTGATGGATACAAAGTATTGATCCTGGGTGTGTCTGTGAGGGTGTTGCCAAAAGAGATTAACATTTGAGTCAGTGGGCTGGGAAAGGCAGACTCACCCTTAATCTGGTGGGCACAATCTAATCAGCTGCCAGTGAATATAAAGCAGGCAGAAAAACGTGAAAAAGAGAGATGGGCCTAGCCTCCCAGCCTACATCTTTCTCCCATACGGGATGCTTCCTGCTTTGAACATCTGACTCCAAGTTCTTCAGTTTTGGGACTCGGGCTGGCTCTCCTTGCTCCTTGCAGACAGCCTGTTGTGGGACTTTGTGATCGTGTAAGTTAATACTTAATAAACTCATATATCTATATTCTATTAGTTCTGTCCCTCTAGAGAACCCTGCCTAATATACTGACTAAACAGGGTTTCTAAGAAACCTGGCTTTTTGTTTTACTCTGACTTGAGATGATATGGACTCCACTATTTTGACTTTCCTCTCAACCCTTTCACCACCTTCAAGGAGCCTACAACTTCAATGGCATCAAAGAAGGCTATGTTCATTTCCTTGCTGCAGCCTACTCCAAACAGAAACTGCACATTTTCATACACTCCCTATATATAGGACAGGAGGAGACAATTTACTGCTCCAACATCATTACTTCTTTCAAGTCTCTATCACACTGACTTTAACATACCCTATAATCCCCTAAAACTGCTCTCTCACCACCTGTAAGGGATTAATGTCATCTTTTCACTACTGATCATCCTCTTCATCCTAACTGCTGACCTAACTATGAGCCTATTTAAATAGCCTTGAAAATGAATCATCCAACACCTATTGCACAGGTTCTGAAACTTGTCCCAACTTCAGTAATCAGAATCACTGAAACTGCTTGTTAGAAATACAGATTCTCAGCCCCTTTCCTTAGGAATTCTAGGCCAGTAGACATAGGTTTAAACCTAGGAATCTCACCCCAGGTGGTACTCATGCATTAGTCCTTCAAATGCAATCTGAGAAACACTGTCCTCAATTTTCAGTTCCTTAAATCCTAAATTCGAAGACATTAATCTCCTCTCCGGCAACCAAATGTTATTATCACATTTGAAACTAGTTGTTACCTAAACTGCTGCCTCTCTGAAATCTTAATCCGACTCTCAGATCACAAGCTCTGGTTCTTCCAGCCTACTCATTCCCACACCTGCTCTTCAATTTCATGGGG